CACACACACACACACACACACACACACACATGTACTCTCACACACACACACACACAAACTAACTGACTCTGACAGTTGTGTGTATGCGTGGTGAGCGTGTGTGTGAATTTGTGCATGTGCATAACGATGTGTGTGGACGTGTGTGTGCGCGCGCGCGTGTGTGTATGTGTGTGTGTGTGTGTGCGTGTGTGTGTGTGTGTGTGTGTTTGTCAGTCTGCCTGTGTGTGTCTGTATGTTTTTTGTGTGTATATAGTGTGACTGCGTTGATTCCCTAAAACACATTTATCTACAATCATAAACATAAACTCACCTTAACCGCTTTGACAGTTATTTGAGAATTTACACTGTTGTTCCATTGTTTAAATCTGTTCATGTTCCAGAACAATTTCCCAATCTTAACTGGACGATTTCCTATCGTTTTCTTCTGGCAACAGATTGTGTGTTTCTTCATCAATATCTTTTGATTATCTTTTTTAATTAATTTATTTTTACGACCCTGACGACACTATTTCGATCATTTAGGAGGCGGGCTGCCCACCCTGCCTGTCTTAGCCAACCCGGGTTAAGATGGATACAATATCCTAACAGAAAGACATCAGCAACTGCAGCAGACCTGCACTTATCACTACATGGCATTGGACAGAAGGGCGAGAGCCCAGCTGTTGCTGGATCGATAACAACAACAACAACAACAACAACAACAACAACAACAACAGAAAGACATACATTCTCGATAAAGATTTCTCCCCTGTCGTGAATCAAACTCGGGTCTCCTACGTGCGACAGCAAGGCACAAGACCTCTACCACATCGATCCGATCATGAGCTGAGATAAGGGGGAAACTGTTTATAGGGATATTGGAACCACATGGCTCTTAGAGCCACACATTACTTTTCCCTGGACGTTAGGGGACTGCCACAATGCCAGGTCCCCTACAGGACAGACTGTGTGCAGGTGTGAAAGACCCAGTCAGCATCATCAAATGCCAGGCCTGTGACAGACATCAGCGATCATGGTTCTCCTATAATTCCTTTGCTCGTATGATCTTTAAAAAACTCTAATGTTGTATTATAAAATACAATATTATGGCCATTTAAAACGACACGAGACCATTGTGAAAGGGGTGCTTGAAGGAAAGATGTTGGACAGGATAGCCAGAGGAAGGCGGATGGACAACATAAGGACCTGAGCTGGCTTGGACGTGGCAGAATGTGCCACAGCAGCTCGCGACCGTGAAAGATGCGAGGGTCATTACACGTCAACCTCTGAGTCAGAGATAACATCTCCAGGCATTCAGGTATATTATCTTGATCTTTTCCCGTCACCCATCCATTTAGACTCTCCAAAAAGGTTGCTCTGAGTCTACCCCTGCCTCGTTTGCCTTCAATTTACAGAAACACAAACACATCATACTGTTCGTCGATCTTTGAAGACAGCGAACGTGTGCACCAGCAGGAAAGTGGAATGTCGTAGTAGAATATCTTCTAGACGTTAGTCCAAGAGAGGGAAAAGTAGAAAGTGTTTGTCGTGGCCTATCCAGTGAGAGAAAGGCAATGATGATGGTGATTTTTTTTTTCCTTAATGGGCCTGGTGGACTCCACGAAGAAATCTTCAAGCGAGAGCGAGGCTCTTTTTCAGCTCCATTGTCATTATAATAAGAGGCACCTCCAATCGTCCAAATAACTATTCGAGTTGCCATTGTTCCTGGACTTTGAAACATGTTTGACACGATGATGATGATGATGATGATGATGATGATGATGATGATGATGATGATGATGATAATGTTGATAATGATGATGATGATGATGATCACGATGATGATCACGATGATGATCATGATGATCATGATGATGATGATGATCATGGTGACTGTGACTTGCTGCTATCAGGTCACTTTTATGTCCAATGACTTCCTGTTGTAACACTTTGGAACTGCTGAACTTTTTCTGCAGTTTTCAATCTCTGTCAGACAAAAAAATACGCGAGTATAATAGTACATTCGTGTGCTTACATGAAGTAAATGATTTTTATTTAGATGACGATTTTTTGTGATGTGCATGTACAAAGAAAAACTGAAAAAATATTTTTAATCGTTAAAAATAATCACTTCGGCTGCTTAGTAGAAGTTCCTTCTGAAAAAGGGCGTGTCGCTACCTCAGAATTACAACGTTCTATCTGTTCAGCACCAAGTTTTGAGAAATATGACGTCAAAATTGTTGAGCTTCACAACATGTCAGGCTTTTTCTAATTCAACTCTTTGAATGTCTTGATAACGACACCGAAAAATATTTTGATCTTCATTGAGCGGATAGAGCATTTGAATCATTTCTGATCTCGTGGTCTTAGTAATTTTACACGCCATTAATATCGGATAGAACTTGTGTGATTCTGAGGTAGGTAGCTGTATGACGGAGTCTCATACTGAGCAGTCGATAGGATAATAATTTAACGGTTTAACCCTATCCGTACGTCGTGTTTTACTATTGTATCCATACGACGTGGGGAACTCTGTGCTACCACTTTCCAAAGTGGAAATTTACTCGTGAATCCGATCCGTACGCTTTAAACAGCAAAATGATGTTTTGAGAAATTCTGAAAGTTTCAAAGAGATCTTCGTACTAGAAGTATACTAAAATGTGAAGAATGCAACCCCGTGTGTACAAAATGACACCAGGGCGTACGCTTTGCATAGCAGTCTGTCAAAATGAGTTTTTGAGAAATACTGAAAGTTTCATCAAAGAGATCTTCGTATTAGAAGTATTCTTTATCAAATGTTAAGAATACAACCCCGGGGGTACAAAATGACACCAGGGCGTACAGATAGGGTTTTTAAAAAGTAGGCCAAGGCCGTTCATCCAACGACGACCTGTGGACAGTTGACGTTGGCGTTGTCGTCACAGACAGACAGTGTGGGGTTGAAGGCCGTGCCTGCTGGGCATGCCATGTGGTTGGTCACTCCGAAGGTGCACTCGATGAAGTGGAGGCAGCTGAAGGGGTCCGGGTGGATGCCAGTGGTCATGTTCTTGTTCTGACAGTACGTGTCCCAACCTGATGGGGAGCAGAAGAAATGGTGATGGGGGTTGGGTTGGGGGGAGGGGGGTTATTTTGTTGTTATTTGTGTTGTTGTTGGTGGTGAAGGGAATGGTTGGGGTGATGATGTTGTTGTTGTT